GTCGCTCGTTAGCAGCTTTTTGAAGCAATCACCTTCTCCTGTTACAGCTGCTGTGAAACTTTTAACATCCACTCTGCACCGCTTGGTTCTTTCTGCGTGTACAGTTATGCTTTTCTAACATCCATTATCTTTTGTTTCTCATACTTAGTTTGTTACACAGTTGAATCAGTTACCCAGATGTAGAAAAAACAAACAAAAAACAAGAGTTATGCATTCTCTGTGGCATGTTCGTTCATGTGTCCTTGGCAGAGAAAGTAAAAGCACATATCATATTAACTCTTCTATAGTAACAAACATGAAAAAGGCAAAGGAAAAAGGCAGTTTATGTCAGAAAAAATCAACAAAGGCAAAAAAAAAAGGCACAAGCTGTGCCTCATTTTACAAATAATTCATTAATGAAATACATACGTACAGACACTTCACAATTTAGTCCAACCTCTGTAGAGCATTAAAGTCCAAAAGTCGTTTGAGATCTCACGAAGGCTGCGATCTTAGTCTTAATGCTGCGTTGCAGAACCACACCGAACCGTCGAAGCACTGAAGTTAAGACACTCCTCTGATGGTTGGCATTGAACCACAAACCAAAGTAACAAGCCAGCAATTACCAATAAAAAAAAGCTTCCAGATAAAGTAACGTTAGGCCGTGTCACCCATTTGAATGAGCAGTGAGCATTATAAACCGTTTTATTCATACCTTTTGCATGTAAAAAGGTCAAGTACGTACAGTATACCACAAAAATTACAGCTACTCTGCGTTTACTCTGAGGTATATTTTTGTGGTAAGAACCCTGTGTTTTAAATACTGACACTATTTGTATTGTAGGAAAGGTAGACTTGTGTCCTTGTAGCAGGACGCACCAGGCTTAACAGTACACTGAGAAACCTAAAGATATGAACCCCTCAATGATAAGTGAGTGAAAAATCTTTAACGTGTTGTGTCATACTCAACCAACACGTTTTATTACTGTAAGAGGAAGCTTATTTCCTTTGTTTTACTATTTATATACATTATATATTTTCAGAGCATTTTTCAAGTGAAATTTACCCCCAGAAAAAAAAAAGAGCCATTGTTCTAGTCTTCGGATGAGATTTCCAACCCGGGAGGATTCAGCACGATGTTTCCTGCTCCATGAGTATAAATCAAACTTCTAGGGATTTTAAGAAACATATTTGTTACTGGGGCTGGAGCAGGGAGGGCTGACGTGTTTTCTCTTCCTTTTCCCTTTTTTTTCCCAGGAGGCGCCAGTTTAGTGGAGTCCAATGGCTTGAAGGGCAGGCGGGTCAGCGTAGAGTTCCATAGTTTGGGCCCTCAGAGTCTGCACTGGCCAGAATGCCTGTCTGGTCCTCCTCGGACTGCCTGCGATGCAGGAAGGAGGTCAGATAGTGGTAAGGGTTCTTTTTGTTTTGCTTTTTACTCTTTCTGTGGAGGCTGAGCTCGTCTTCGTCTCGGGGTGTCTCGGATTGCTGCTGGGTCTGAGAGGGAGACGCATCTGAAACAGAGGCATAGCGTTAACACGTCGATTGTAACGTCGGCCTGTCCGTCTGTTCTCCGAGCGTCGGACCGACCTGTTCTCCTCGTGGACGTCGTGTTGTTATTGTTGTTGGCAGCCACCCCCTTTGCTTTAGTTATACAGTGGTGTAGCAGTGCTGGTAATCTCTCAGACCCGGCAGTAGCACTAGACGCACCTGGAGGTCCCCTGGAAGGGCGACAGACAGCACAGCGCACAACGTTCCGCGTTAATCCGGCCGTCACATCTCAGAGAAAAGAACAGTGCTTTCATCACCATTTCCAGTAGCTGCTATATGAGTTGATGAGCCTTGAGCTTCTATTGAAGCTGATGACTAAGATGATGATGTTTCACTTTCTATTTGCTTTGATGGATGACAAAATTACGAAGAGAAAGAAGGAATGAAGAAGAAAAAGAGAAAGAATAGTTTGGCAGAAGGTGTCAGTGGAGTTATTGCTCTTAAACAGTCACTACATTAAAGACCCAAGTCAGCGTTTAGATGCAATTAAAAGTATTTGCCAAAATCTAGTTATAGGTGCTGTAATCTAAAATTAAAAGGGATCTTTCATTTTTGGACTAAATGCAGTAAGAGCTGCAGGTTTGTGCGGTAACATTACCTACTGTACTCGGGGTTTAATCTTTAAATAGTGACTGCTTTAGAAATGCTGGCAAGACTGACCTTTTTGCTGTATTCAACTCATAAAATGAAAATAATTTCTGCTTATACCAAATTATTCCTGTGATGACGAGGAGTTATTTATCCTTCAAAATTCTCCAATATAGCAAGGATTGATGTGCTGTACGTTGTGGGTTGGCAGCCTTTGACACACGTTTCTACGTAACGACACAAGAACTTTACCAACGAACACCAGAGTCTTAATAAATCTAGCTGCATCAAAGTGAGGCATTTAGGCTGGACTGGAGGGCTGGACTGAACCAGCTGAGGTGGGTGAAATTCTTAGAGTAACTCTGAAAGTTTGTGACTTAAGTAGACAGTAAACAGGAAAACCTTGGATAAATATTACAAATATTTTATCACATTTCAGAAAGATGACTTATGTAAATATAGGAAGGAGTGAACTAAAAAACTTTACATTGTAATGATTAACTAATCTCACGTTAGTGTTTTATTCCCACACTAAATGTCCAATTACCGGTAATTGAATCATGTTTGTTTTCTTGTCAAAAAAAAAAAAAGAAACGATTACAATAAAAAAATTCATTTGAATTACAGTAATCCCTCGCTACTTCGCGGCTCGTTTTTTGCGGATATGCTCTATCGCGGTTTTTCAAAATAAGATAGGACATGACACACAATTAGGTGATTGATGGATGAGCAACACGATCGGCATGGAATTTGTATTAAAATAAATTATTTTAAATTATTTAGCACCTGCGTGCAGCCCACAGCTGTGGGAGAAGCTTCCTCCTGCACTGTATCATACCTCCACTCTGCACCGGAGAAGTGGGCGTGGCAGAGAGCAACCATGGCAGAGAGCAGCCGTGGCAGAGAGCAACCATGGCAGAGAGTTGAAATCACGATATGCTGTGCTCTTTTCTAGAGCGTTTAGAGTTTAGAAACATTGTTTAGAATATTGCAAGAGCGCAGGAAGGGTTTAAAACACCTTAATATATAAATAAATACTGAAATAAACTACTACATTCTATTTGTACCATTTTCCTACTTTGTGGTTTTTCACTTATCGCGGGGCTTCCGGGTACAGATCCCCCGCGATAAATGAGGGTCTACTGTACACTTAATCTCACAGAAATATGTAAAAAAAAAAAAAACAACAACAGTGTATTGAAATATTGAATCTGTCTTTCTATCTGTACAGATAAAGACAATAATAACACTTTGTACGATTTTACAGATGAGTGAATTACATCAGACGTTTTTGAGTTTTTACGACCAAATGGGGAAAGACTTCACCGCTAATGGTTGCATACATGTCATTTTTAACTATTATGTTTCTCCAACATAAAATAATTTTAGGGTTTTTTTAAGTTGTTTTTTTTTTTTGTAAAAATCAGGCATATAAATTTTTAACTTTCCACTTTTTCTCCTGTGAATTGGTGAAAAGTATATACTGCCCACTGCACACTGTATTCACTGGTTAACTGGACATCATTAACTTCATGCAGACTCTCTCACTGGTATATTTTCATCTTTAAATCACTTCTTGGTCTGTTGCCTTCATACATCTCTTCCTACATGTCTCTGCGTGAGTGCAGCTACGGAGTGCGCTCTCAGGACATTATTACCTGCAGTGTTCCCTCAATGAGGACTGAACTAGGCAAAAGGGCCTTCTCCTATTCCGCCCCTGTTTCCTGGAATATCTTACAAAAAGATTTGAAGCTCTCGACCTTGACCTCTCTAAGTGTCTTTAAGAATCTGTTGGACACCTGGCAGGGTCCAATGCTGACATGTTCCTGTTTTTAGTTTTCTACATTTGTCTTGGAATCTAGCTGTTTTTTTGTTTTGTTACCTTTTCCTTTTAGCCATCCTATTTGTAAAAAAAAAAAAAAAAAAAAAAACTGTAGTATGCTTTTTTATAACTGTTTATTGTTGTTGCTGTTGTCCATTGTTGTCATCTTTCTTTGTTGAAATCAGGTCTCTCTTGTAAATGAGTCCTCGAGGCTCAATGGGATTTACCTGTATAAATAAAGGTTGATTGATATATTAACTGCTTAAATCTCATGTTACTCATTCAACCTTTATTTGTATAGGTTAGTCACATTGAGTCACGAGGACTCATTCACAAGAGGCCCGGCACACCAAACCGAGGAATACGTCACAAAGTAGAGGCAGATATGGCGCATCGACTCATTATAAACCGTACATATTTGTCAAAATATGAGGAATAAATACCTCATCTATGAGTCCTTTGAAGGAAATGTCTGAAATGTAACCCTAAAGGACGTTTTCAAGCCCTTTTCTGAGTAGCACAAACAACTAATGATGATGTTGAGCAGAAAAGCCACAACATTTAGCTATTTTCCTTGTCTGCTAGCGAGGCTTTTTTAAATACCAGCAGAGAAATACTGACATCCAAACATGTTTAAAGATTTCCTCTTTAAAATGACATCAGAAAGTCTGCATTAGACTACGGAAACAATATGATTCAGACCACTTTCCAGGGGTACAAGCAGTACACTGATGACCTGTTGCTGAGAGATTTGAATAGTGAACGTTTGTAGTTTGTGAGATGTTTGCTTTTTCTGGACTGGAATTGAACAGGGAATGCAAGTAAATCTTAATGTTTTTGATGTGAGATATTCAGGTGTGTAGAAGTCACACTGTGTAGAAGAGAGGTAGATTTTTTTCTGTCCAAGGTGGTGCAGAGTGACGGATCCCGGCAAGTGGATGGAGTTAATTTATCCACCAAGGTGCAACAGTGGAGCCAGGGCTATGAATTGTTATTTATTTTCAAATTACCCTGCTCATAAGATGGGTGGATGGACAGAGACATTAAGACAAACATATGGAAGGCATTTCGAGGTACACTCTTCTTCGCTCCATACCGGTGGACAATAACCGCTTTGAACAACAAATCAAGCCACATCTCTGGAACTGCTCAGGATTCTGAAAATATAATTAATTTAGTTTGAACAAATACAGGTATGACTGGATCCTTGATTTGGTGTGATGGTTCACATTTATTTAGCTTTAAAATTTATTTATAAGGTGCCTTTCATTGAACCCAGTCATGATTTGGATAAACATTAAAACAGACACAATTGTGTTGAAGTAACTATTAAAATAAGAGGAAAGCAGATTTATTCAATTACTTTGCCCTAGTTTGTCTAAATACTGTAAATACCTCACCAATGAAATCCTTTGTGATCCGGTTAAAAATAATTGAGATAGAAGTTAATTTTTTTTTTTTTTACAAACTGTCTTTATTTTTTAGCAAATGTCTTGAAGCAGTTGGAAAAGGTTGCCAAACCCTCTTAAAGTGCAAGTCATTCAGCATTTCTCTGAATTCCCAAACAAAAATTTGCCACGCTATAAGCAGGAAACAAACAGGAAGCTGAGGAACTATTTTCATTTCATGAGGGATACATGCCAAGTTGAATGAAAAACGATCAATGTCTAATCAGCACAAAATAAAACCATAATTTCCAAAAACCTCTGCAGTCTGTTCTTTAGGCAGCTTTACTATTTAATAAACACTCTGACCATTTTAACCGTCCAAAATTGCGTTTTTGGATTGTTAAAAGCAGCCAAGCTGAGAAGCTAAGCTACGAGCTAAGCTAACAGGCTGACCTCGGGGAAAAAACTCTCTTGTCAAAGGTCCAAAATTCAGTTGAAACCTGTGCCTTCATGTAAAAAGTTTTTTTTCTCTGCAAAAAGAAGCTGAGAACTTATTTATTGATTTTTTTTTTAATTAAAAGCTTTGTGTGACAAATGCTATGCTAAAGAGCTCAAACCACACTGAGAATCCACCATTTTGAGAACCAAAAAACAGGAAGGAGAGACAGCTCATGTCACGTCAAGGTGCCTCCCTCCCATTTTTCTTAAAGAGACACACTGCTCGCTCCCTCACTACCCATCCTTCGGTTCAGTCTTATACTGTTATCAAGTGGTCAAAAAAATGTACTACACACAAAACAAATTACCAACATTTCTTCTTAAATTTGACAATAACTAATTATTGTCAAATTTCAAACAATATTATCGTTTATCGCAATAATTTCCGAGACAATTTTTCACCCAGCAAAATTTGTTTTCGTGACAGGCCTAGCTGTCGCTTTCAAATAGAAAAAAACATGAATCTGAATAATTTCACAACGCTGCGCTCAGCTTCAGTGTGGTCAAAACAGCTTCAAAACTCGACTCAATCTAATCGAATCAAGCTGTCGTGGCATAAATACTGTATCAAAAGGAACAGAAAGCTTTAGAGGCTGCCCGTCATTTGTCGCTGTGGAGAGAGAGACTGAGAGCCATTAGCAGAGGGGGAGTGGGGCAGAAAATTGCAACAATCCTGGATAGAAAGAGGAAAAAAAAGAAAACATTTCTAATATTAAATAAACTGAGGGCAAAAAGGCCCTGAGTGTTAGAAGACTTCCAGATACAGAAACACTGTACATCACACTTTGATAAACATGAACACTGCGTACAGAGGCTTCACCATGCTGACGGGAGGAGATGGCAGGAAGAGGAAATGGCCGTTAAAGAACAAGTCACATGACAGGAAGAAGAAATGGCCAATAGAAAAAACGGTCACATGACAAGAAAGAACGGAAGCACTAAAGACGACAGATGTGACGGAAGAATTTAGTTTGAGAATTGTTGTTATTTGTTTGGTCAAAGAGAGGAGTTTAGAGAATGCATGCATGGCATTTTGCACATGGAACAAAGCTTTAAAGGGGAATACTCGAGTCTGTCTTTTAAGAGCGTCCTCTGTTGATTCAAGGCTTGTCTTTTTACTTATTTTGTTATTTTGTTGCAGGGTTTAAAACCCACATTCAAGCTATTAAAAAAAAAAAATGCTCCTGAAGCGTGCTCAGAAGCTTCATTAGTGGGCCACGCCCCAGCAGGCACGCACTGATAAATATGTCCTGCAGTCGTGCTTTCATTAGTTCGCTTGAATCCAACACAGAGGAACGACCCGAAGCGATTCCCCTTTAAAGGAGAGAGTGATTAGAGCCCTCCCCCTGCTGACCCCCTTCCCTCTCAGACATGGGTCCGACCCTTACCTATTGTGGCGTAGGGGACCGGGTCACAACAACGCTGCCCAGATAGCTGAGATCAATCAAAAACAAATCAGGTAAGACCCTTACCCTCTACAAAGCAGCAGCCCTATAAGCTACCCTTTTGATTCAAGGCCAGTGAAGAGTGTAGTCGAAATGCGGCCTCATGGCTTTAGCTTCCATTTGAGCTGTGTGGTGTGTGTAGGGGTGGACACTACAGAACTCTGAAGCTTGTCTTGTGTTTAAAGATTATTTAAGGGTTTCATTAATCTGTGAATGTTAAACAAATTTAGGGAAAAAGAAAGGTTTTGTTGTTTTTTACTCAAAACTAAAAATGTTTCCATCCCTCATGGAAACAGTTTTCATGTAACCTTAATGAATAAAAAAACCCTACAATTAAAAAATTATACATTTTGTGTTTAAAGGTTTCACATTTATTTTTATTCTCCAGCAAAGTACACGATTTGTCATTTTAGCTCCTCCGATCAAACTTTTGACCTCAACTTTTGGGTTAGATGACATTTTATGTTATTTTATTTAAGAAACCTTTCATTTGGGAACTTATTTAGAGTAAAAAAATACAATCCCATTGAAATAAATTAATAAAGTGGACATGAACTGCGGAGGAAAATAGGGATTTGCAAATATTCAAAAGTGCTTTTTTTTGCCATTTTATTTAAGAAGAGCATACAGCTCTTAACTCCTAAAATGTTTGTTAAATTTAATTTGCACACCCTGATATTTTATAGGAGAGAAATATTACTAATTGAAACAAGTAACCGCTAATAAATATCAGATGTCCTGCTGAAGGAAGCCAATTAACATTCAAATGATAGTCATTAAATACAAAGAAAGCTACGACAGAGATTTAGGGCCACTCTAAAAAAATAAAATAAATTACATTGCCACACTAAGAATTTTAAAAAAAAGCTATAAAATTACGAGAATAAAGTAACAGAATTACGAGAATAAAGTAATAGAATTACGAGAATAAAGTCATACGAGGCTTTTAAAATTTTTTACAGCTGTCGTTAATTTTTTCCCCACGAGTCGGATCTACGACGCAACCTGTCAATCAATCCAGTAGGCATGTCAGCAAATTACCAATCCGAAACTAAATAAGTCGTAATACAATCTTAATTATTGTTTCTCTTACGCAAAAAGTGTTCCAATAGTGCCACCTACTGTTGTGTTTTTGTATGCTGCTTCTGGAATGCATATACATGACGCGTCATTATGTCATGACTTTCATTTTTGTTTCCGTTTGAAAACGGCGTTCAGTGAGAGAAACTATGTAATCTGTTAGCACATCAGCATCAGAATATTATCAATATCTGGACTTTGAACCTGCTTACAGTAAGGTGGTACACTCCAGCTCTCTGCAGGTAAGGAGCATTTAGCTTTGGATTGGTCATTTGTTGACACGCCTACTGAATTGATTGACAGGTCGTGTTATGGATCTAACTCATGGAAAAAAATTAACGACGGTTGTAAAAAATAAAAAAGTCTGGTACGACTTTATTCTCGTAATTTTTATGGCTTTTATTTTATTTTTCTTAGCGTGGCAATGTAATTTTTTTTATTATTATTTTTTGCATGGCCTTAAAGCTCCATCATAGAAAGCTGATGTTTTTTCAATAGGTGCTTGTAAAAATAATAAATCTTGGTAAAATGCTTCACTCAAGTTTTATTCCTTCTTGCTCATTTATCACACTAAATTTATTTTAGATGCTTTTTTTTTTGGCTAAAATTAAATAAATAAAAAAAGCACTATTTTTTAAGTGAGGGACAGAAAATATAGAATGACTTTATAAAATAAACTATAGGTTTTTGGATTTGATATTGTACTGCTTTAAAAAAACGTTCATTTAAAAAATTGTTTACATGTTTTTAGTGTTTTGTACAAATATTGAAACAGAAATGCACTAAAACTAAAATCTAAATGAACATTGTGCACTAAATGCTATAACATGCCTTCAGCATATTGAAGTAAATATGCTCCTAATTACTTCTAAATGGAAACACCAAGGTACAAGTGTGGATAAATACTTGGGAAATTAGGAAATGAAAACAGACGAGGAGACGAGTCTCCTCTTTACGAAATATACATCTACTTTCTACTGGAATGGATCACCTACCCTGAGGCTGATATCTGGAGCTGAGAGGGTTCTGAGGGCAGCATCTCCTCTTCTGTCCTTCTCTGGGATGGCCTCTGCCCGAAAACATCCCTGCCCTCCGGAGGGGGGGAGGGGGACTGGGAGGGGTAACTGGCTGCGGTGGAGGCATAGGACATATGGTAACTGGGGCTGGACTGCTTGGCGCCCTGGCTCTGAGTGGGAGATGTGGTCAGGGAGGACCTCCGAGAAAAGCTGACGGTGGCCGAGGGCTGCAGGGTGATCTCTGGCATCTCCAAAGACCGAGAGGTGCGAAGGATGCTGGGTCGTGGCGGGGGCCGAACTAGAATATCTGGGGAACCTGGCTGGGTGCTAAGAGGGCTTTGGGAGAGTGGAGAAAGGCGGGAGGGCTGGAGTACTAACGGGGGTAGGCTGGGGTCTGCCCGGCGCCCTGCCCTCGGGCTGAGCCAGGACTGAGGGCTACTACTGGGGGCTGTGCTTGGGCTCCCTGTGCGGGCTGCCGGGTCAGGGTAAGGCAACACTGGTACACCCACACCGTGGGCCGTGTGTCTGAGCTGGCCGAGACTCTGGGCCTGTTGCATAGCTAAACGCCTAACCGGAGGCCCCAGGGGCCTGTCTCTGCCTGGTGGAGCCACAGGGACCTCCAGCTGCAGAAGTCCAGGGCTTGTTGGATCTTTTAGGGGAGGGAGGTGAAAGCGACTAGGGGGGAGAGAGTGAGGAGGGTAAGGGGGTGGATCAGGGAGGTCCTGGGGATGACGTAGAGGATGGTGTGGTGGGTATATAAATCGTGGACCCTCTAGACCCAGAAAGGGTAACTCATGAGGGTGCCAGCTTTCAGGTGAGCGAGGAGGAGGGCTGTGGGTGTGAGACAGAGAATGACCAGAGGCAGTGTACTGATGGTGCTCCAACTCTCCACTTTCCTCAGGGATGGAGGGGTAACCAAAGGGCCCCTCGGTGGTGCCTGGGGGAGAAGACAGAGCGGAGCTACGCGGGCTGATGTCAGGCATGTAGAAAGGTGGTGGGATCCCTGATTCAGCACGGCTGCCTAGATATCCATAAAACGGGCCCTGGGGGAAGCCCCTGTAGCGGGAAACTGGCGCCTGCCCCGAGGCGTGAAGTACTCTGCCCTCTGCAAAGCTCATACCTTCCATGGGCCTGTGCAGGCGAGGACTGTAGGTGGGGGGCTGCGTTGACTCCAGGCTGGAGGACGTTGGGGAGAGTTGAGGCCTCAAAGTGGGCATGATGGGTGGCAGAGGCCCAGGGTCAAAATCATTCTCCTCGTCAGACTGCCGGAACTCAGGGTACAAGTCAGACTCCTCAGCGAAGGGGAAGCCCTGGATTCGGCGAAGAGGTGGGCTGGTCTCCATGACAAAGCGGCCGTCGGGACCTCGGCTTATCAACTCAATGGGCGTGGTGACCTCGGCCTCATGTTTAGACACGCTGTATTTCTTGCTGACTATGGCACGCTTGGTTTTCTTGTAGAAGGAAAGCTCTTTGTCTTTATCTTTCTGAGGGCTGGGCAGCTTTCTGACGTAGAGGCCAGGACCATGGGAACCCTCTGATGAGAGAGAGCGGGGTCGAGATGGAGGGGAGCTCTCTGGACTTATCTTCCCTGATGATAACCTAAAAAAAATCATGCAGACACAAAGTGCTGAAATCCAAAGGTAGCGTGGGTTGAGCATTTCTAGGAAAATACCTTTGATGCCGTGAATCAGTTGACATGATTGCAGTTTTTAAATAAAACGAAACAATACAAAGCCAAAGCACTCATTCAAAACAGCCATAATGATCTACAATATGAAAATGACAAGTTTGGCATTAGCAACAGCCTCGGGATACAGGCTTTAGCTAATGAACCAAGCCACTGTGATGGGATGAGAGAAGAACCAATAACGCAACCATGACAACCGTATCACAGATTTATTGAATCTGCATCTTTCTGAGCAGACATGAGACCAATTTTCATATGCTACACCAAATGGATATGTGAGAAAAGCAGATGACGTGTAACCAGGCCTCCTTTGCCAACACCAGGAGCAGCATACTCAACGCTTACTGCACTGAGTCACTGAATACGTACTCAATACTTTTAGAAAACATGAAGAATTTTGCTTTAATATGAATTTTCAATAACACTATAGGTTTCCTTTGACTGCACATATAGGAGTGACCTAACATTAAACAGAAGATAAACTGCATTTTTTTTTTGCCATGTCCAGAAGATCATGCAAGCTTCTTGCATGTTTCCATTCTTTTTCAGAATAGGCCTCGAACTTTAAGAGTAGCGTTTGTTTTCTTGGCAGGACTCAATATTTAAGGCTCCCTATCCCCAACAGTCAAATGATTGGACACCATTTCCTACAATTTGGCCCTCATTGCATTATTTGTAAAACGTTTCGCAGTAAAAACACAGACGAATATGGCTTGTCTGCCACGGGCATTTCGCCCATCTCTCTTCATAAGAATGAGTTAGGAGGTTTTGTTCACTGTTTTGAAATGAAAGATAGTACAAATCTACTGGGTATTATCTGTAAACTAAACTCTGCATGCTTGTTGTAACTCAGCTTGTTAAACAGATAACTTATCAAGTTCCCAGTGTTATTTTAATAGGAGCAGAATGAGGGATTTAAACAGTGAATGTTTGTAGTTTTGGAGATGAGTGTTTTTCTGGACTGGAATCAAACGGGGAACACAAGTAAACCTTAATGCTTTTAGTGCAACATATTCAACTGGGTAAGACTTACACTGTGACTAAGAAGAGAAGAATGATTTATTTATGTGTCTGAGGCAGCGCAGAATCCTGGCCAGTGGGGAGAGCAATTTTATCCACCACCAGGCGCATTGACAGAGCCAGGGGGTGGCCAATAAAGGCCTTGTTCACTACTATAACATCATTCTTCAGCCACCTCACATGCCACTCGGCTTATTTTTGACCCAATAATTTGAGGAATCTGTACTTTTAAATAATATAAAAACTAGAAGGCCCATGTTAGGTCAAGAAGGGCATCCGGCGTAAAAATGTTTTCCAAATCTCTCATGCGAGTTTGCTCGCTGTGACAACCCGTGAAGAAGGGGGCAGCCAAAATAAATTTACTTTTATTATACACTCTGTGTGTGTGTGTATATATATATATATATATATATATATATAGCTACATAG